CTTTCTTTGAATCCTCATCGTCACTTCCAGCGTTTGATGCAAAGCCATCATCATCTGGAATTACAACCGGTGGCCCACTCTTTACAAACCCACCAGAGAGGGTGGTGGTTCGGCTTCTTTCTGTTGATATAGCAGAACCTTGTTTAAATTCTGTTGTTGCCCTCTCAGAGTCCATTCTGTATTTCTTTGTAGTGTTCTCTTGGGCTGTGAGGTCTTCTGAAGTCGTTGCTTTCAAAGCCGTATCACCCGAGTAACTCGTGTTAAGAGATGCTCTATAACTTATGTTTGATGTGGGAAACGTTTGACCGCTATCATTTATGCTTTGTGGTGCAGATGAGGCGACAAGGTGATCAGTGGGTGCCTTTTGTCGAAGTTTCTGTGATAGATCTTGCACGTTACGCTCGCGCTTGTGGGAAACTGAACGACGTGCAAGTATACTGGCTCTATTCCACGTTGATGAAGAATTCATGATGTAGTCAGGCTGTATTGTCTGTCCCGGGGTAATAGGAAGAATTGGCGCTGCGCCTCCATTCATATAATAAAAATTGTACACAACCTGCGGGGGTGGTGTTGGGGCAAGTGCCGTTGGCGGTAGTCTTGTTATTGAAGGTGATGGGAGTGGTACTGTAGGTGCTGAAGAGTAATTAGCCTCATGTGGAAAACTTTGCCGCGGCAGTGCTGTAAAGCTCTCATTGGCATTCTGTCGGTTTTGAAACGATGGGTCCATTGTCAATGGCGCGTTGTCATGTGGAGATACATGAGGCAACGGAGAGCGGTGGACGGGGATGTTAGATGCAGCCTCTACAGAGTCATACTTTGGCTCTGGGGAATGGGGTGAGGGAGTCATGACGTGCAACAATCCCGTAACTGTTTCTTTGGCAAGTGATGCCACACGCTTACAGTACGACTGAAATACACCCTCCTGGTGAGAGCGTTCTGGTGATCTTGAATAGGCGTTGTTATTCATATTATTATTATTATTATTATTATTATTATTATTATTATTATTATTATTATTATTATTATTGTTAGTAGTAGTATTCATATAATCATAAGTGGAAGTGACGTTGGTGCTCCTCTCTCGCTCTAGCAACGTTCTTGGTTCACTCATTCTTGACGTCATATCCCGCAGGTACGCTGGTTCCCCACGTCCTCGGCGTATACTTAAACGAGGTCGCTCCCGCATCAGAATATTTTTCTTTTTACCTTATCTAAAAAAAAATAAATAAAATAAATAAACACGAGAGAAGAAAGAAAAAAAACTCAAAGAAAAGAATAACCATCTTATTTACTGTCCAAGCAGAAAAGGTACAAAGGTAGAGTCACCACAGAGATGCATACACAGCCACCAAGTTTGCTTCTTTTTTATTTTTTAGAGGTTCTTTCAATCTTCTACGTAACGTAATAAGACGCTTTGTTTTGCGCAAACATAGATAAAAAAAAAAAAAAACAGAAAGAGACATACCCAGAGAAAAGTTTATCTATCTGCTCTTTTATTCTCTCTTGGGATTGTTCATCCGCCTGATTCCTCCTTTTTACACCTTTTCCTCTTGTTTTTTTTTTTTTTTTTGCTTTCTTCTACAATGAAGGCGTCCACCCCACAGCACAGACACACACGCGTGCACTCACAGTCACTCGCGTATAGCACAGCAACCAAATAATACTAACAATGATAACAATGGGGAAAGTTAAAAGAAAAAAAAAAAATTGATATATGAAAGAGCTGAGGGAGGAGGGGTCATAGAAGAGGCGTTAAAACGTCTTAACAGAAAGGATACGCATATGGCGCCCTTCGTAAATAAATAGCGCCTACGGTAAAATTTCTTATTTGGCCACGCGCATCTTTGACTTATTTTCTCTGCAGAAGGTTCAAAAGAAACAGGGGAAACATATACCCTCATTTATTCATTTTTCTCTTTTGTTTTTCTTTTTGCCTCCCTTTCATTATTTTTTTTCTTTTCCCCTATTCTCTTCCCATTTGTTATTACCACTTGATTTTTTTTTCTGTTTTTTTTTTTTTTTCCGTTCCTCGACGTAAGCAACAGAGCGGATGTTTATTGCGCTCCATATGCTACTCCTGTATTTATATCTGTAAAGAGACCTACAGTTTTTCCTTGCCCTCATATACACAGAGTTTTGTAATGGCATTTGAGTGATGCGCATGCTTAGGTCCAAGTAATTCATTTAACTCACGCTGAATTTCGGCGTTGGAGAGTCCACTGGACATCATTCGCATATTGTAAAGCTCTACAGCCTTATTAAGAAGATCCACGCCCATTTGCTCCTCAAGAATTTTTCGTACATCTGATGCTGGTACAGATACACCATTGGAAAGAGTAATCATATCTACCTGCGGTGTACCAGTGGATGGTCCATCTCCAAACTCTTCCGGATGACCTCCCAGATTAGTGTTACCAACAATTCCTTTAGTTTGTTGAACAATAGCCTGTTTTTGTTCAATATAATCACCATCATCATCCACATCCGGGTGTCCAGAGTCATCTTGTGCGGGTGTGGCAGGTTCTTCTTGTGTAGGAGGTGTAGCGGCAGCTTGCTGAGCCAACATAGCCTTCATAGTTTCCCTTTTCATACCGCGCAACATAGCCATTTGTTCACGTTCACTCATTGGAGGAGGTTGAGGTACTTCCTTTGGTTTCTCCTGTGTACGAACTGGTGTACTCTTAGGAGGTGGTGGACGTTTCGCTTCAAATTCAGCACGCTCCTTTTCAGCTTGCTTTTCAAGATCTGCGCTAAATGATTTTAATGACTCCTGAACAAAAGCACTCTCTAATATCCTATTTATACTAGGACGTTGAACTGGATTTACTTGCAAGAGAGCCGCACATAACCCACGCATTTCAGCAGGTACAGTAGATGGAATAGGGTCATATTGTCCAACAAGAATCTTTTTAAGAAGTTCTTTTAAAGATTTTGCATTAAATGGTCGTTGAAGTGTCAACATTTCGTATAAAACAACACCAAGTGCCCATACATCGCTTTTATTATTATATGGCCTATTTTGACAGAGCTCTGGTGAAAAATAGTATGGTGTACCACAAACCGTTTTGGCACATGCCAAAGTATTCTGCAAAACTGTTGAAATACCAAAATCACCCAATTTCACAACATTTCGAGAAGTTAGAAAAATATTTGCAGTTTTCAAATCACGGTGAAGGATATGATTATCATGAAGGTATTTTAAAGCCATACATATTTGTAAAAACCAAAACATAGCCAATTTTGGATCAAAAGGTTTAGGTGGATCTTGTTTTTTAGCCTCTTTAATACGGCTATTTAAATCTCCACCATCTGCATACTCCATGATAATAAAAATAAGTGTACCATCTTCAAAATGTTCGTGGTATCGAATAATATTTGGATGATTCACAGCGGAAAGAATTCGAATTTCATTCTGTACATCACGTTTTTCCTTTGCGGTCATGGAAGCAGATTCAATGGCTTTTACAACATAACGTTTTCCATCAGCTTTTGATCGTACTAGTACAGCCTCACCAAAGCTACCTTTACCAATAGATTTGATTTTGCGATACTTGCTGAGGAAAACCTCAGAAGCCATCGCTTTGGATTCATCCGCTACTTGCGCCATGGGCAAGAGAAAATATAATCTTCCGCCTTTTTTTTTTTCTTTCTTTTTTTCTTTCTTTAAGTGTTACCTTTTTCTATTCGTTATTCTTCCTTCTACCTTTTTTAGCTTGATAACGCGTCAAAGATGTATGAATTTCCTTCTTCTTTTGATTTGCTTCTTTGCTATTAATTGTTTCTACATTGGTATTATGTTCGGTAGTTTATAATGATACGGATCATTAGAAATGAGGTAAATAAGAAAGAAAAAAAAAAAGAAGAAAACAACTTTGTACAAGAGAAACCAAACGGCAGAAAAATAGAACGACATGTCCCATATTTATATTACTATTATTATTATTATTATTAATTTCTTTTTTCTGAGAGTTTGTGCAATTACTTCTCTCTCTCTCTCTCTCTCTCTCCCTCTTCTTTTTTTCTTTTCTTTCTCTCCTTCTCTCTTCCAACTACAGTGGTCACTACCATCAGCACCACCACCGGTGATGAAACATGTTGAACTGGAGCGTTTTATACCTCCTCAGAGAACACGTTATCATCACACACCAACTTACTCACATAAATATGTAAAGAGTGAAAGTAGGCAGTCTATCAGTGAAAACCAAAGGAAGGAGAGAGAGAGAGAAGAGCAGAGCAAAAAAAAAAAAAGAAACAAAGAAAAATACAGAGAGATAACAAAAGATACATAAGACAGATCATAGGGATGTCAACATCCGTAGATGAGGTAGCAGGAGTTTTCTTTTCTTTTCCTCTGTAGTAATAATAAAAATAATAAAACCAAGATAAAAACATCTTGCGAGGATATACAAAAATCTGGTAATAATATTACACCTAATATCATGCGGGGTCATAAATTCTTCTATACATTGACAAATATCATACAAACAGAGAAGCTATAATGTTTCCTCTTTCCATCTCCCTTTCTTTCAGTTCTGTTTTCATTTTATTTGTGTTTCTGATGTTATATATATATGTATATATAAAACATATACAAAACACATATAAATAAATATATATATATCAAACAAAGAAAAAAAAAAGGAAAAGGAAAAAAAAGAATCTGCATATATGTTCAAAGCGTTATATCTAAATTCAAAAACACGTAAAAAAAAAAAAAAAAAAAAACACCTCTTAGGTCTTGAGGGATCAGTAAAATCGGCGAAGACAAGACTGTACCACTGTTGTGTCCGGGAATGAGTTGGGTTTCCAAATACCAGTAGCCCCTTTTGGTGGTCCTGGAACATATTCTGCATTTTGTTTCCTATTCTTCCTCTTCTTCTTCCCTTTATTTTTTGCGGCCTCCATCGCATCAGGATCGATCCAAGTGTTGGGAAAGGGATCAAAACAACCCTCATTACCGGATCTGCTCCAGATGAAGGTCATTGGTTTCTCTTGCTCAAACACTGGGACATCTGCTGCCGCAGCCTTTGCACGCCTCTTGCGCTTTGATGGTTTTTCCTCTACAGGTTCAAAGTGATATACACCTGATACTCCCGTACCAGGAAGTTCATCTAAGTAGTCGTGCGTAACACCTGGTACCTTAAATGGACCTCCCATTTCTTTAGGTGGTGCAGCTTTTTTCTCTGCTTTCGCTTTTGCCGCCTCCCACCGTTCATACTCTTGTCGCCAGTTATCATCGTACTTTGGGTTATTTAAAAGAACACCAGGAAAACCATATGTACCTTTCTTTCCCGGATTTGTCTTTACATTTGGAAGAGCAGTTTTACGTTTATCACCCTCAGCAGATTCATCTGCATTCTTTTTACGATGTCGTCGTTTTTTCTTATCATCTTCTTCACCTGGCATAATAAATTCATACGGCCGATTCTGGAAACAACCCGCGTAACTTCCAGGACCATCACTATGCTTTGGAAAAGAAGGTGGTAAAAACTCTTTAGTGGAAATATTCTTCTTTTTGGATTCCAACGCCTCTTGACGACTTCGGGTTTCTAAATCTTCAAAAGGTCCAACATCTTTACCCCCGTTTTGTTCCTGAGAAGCCAAAGTGAGAAACTTTTTGTCAAAAAATACTTCCGGACCTGCTCCTGTAGCCCCACGGCCTATGGTCATCCCTTTGCCAAGATAACGTGATGGGATGGTATCCATCTTATTGTACGGATCCGTGAGCTTTGGATCGGCATCTGTGGAAATTAGTGGTGGATCAGAGAATAAACCACCGTATACACTGAGGTGCGTCATGTTTTTTTTTTTTTTATTATTATTCTTACTTTTTACGGTACTTCTTCGTTTGGTAGTGTACTCTCTGTTCTTCTTCTTCTTCCTTTTGAGTTTCTCCTTACTCTCAGTTTGAACTGGTGACTACTGGTAAAGGGTTGTTGTTGTTGTTATTTGGTTTCGTGCACGTACCCTCGTGACCTAGTTTATATATGTATATGCGTATGTGTATGGGTATGGGTAGATGTGTATAAGTGGACGTGAAACAAAGGGAAGCAACTTAACTCACCTTCTTTTAATAAATTACGGTTAAGAAGAAGAAAAGAAAGAAAAAGAACAATAACAATAACAAAGTTAAGCAGTGGTGATAGCAACAAACGTTTTCTCTTTCATTTTACCATTTGTTTTTTTTTTTTTTTTTCCAGTACCTGTCTCTCTTCTTTTTTTTTTCTCCATGGAAAGAAGGAAATGATGCAAATCAAGGCATAAGTAGTCAGACGAAAAAAAAAAAAAACAGATCAACTCATTGAATAATAAGACCGGTGTAGCTAGGAGGTACAAAACAATAACAACAACATCAACAACCAAATAAATAAATAACACCCCTCCCCACTCGCCAACACACGTGCCTAATAAATTAATGATTATGTTTCATGTTTGCATGCAGCCTTTTCAATTGCTCTTGTTTTTTGTTTTTTGTTTTTTTCACTTCTTTTCTTTTCCTTTCTTTACTATTTCACCTTTCACTTCTTTCCTTTTTTCTTTTTTTTTTTTTCGTTTCTTTTTTCACTCATTTCTCTTCCTCTTTACACGGAGGGTCTATCCCCTTGGTCCTTCTCTGCACGTCATATTATCCTTCTTTTTCTTTTTTCGTTCATTTCCTTCTTACCTCTTTTTCTTTTTTCTTTTTTTTTTTTCTTTTCTTTTCTTCCCTCACGCCGTTGTCTCTTCTTTTTCGCTCTTCACACCCCCAGGAGTCTTTTCCTCCTCTTCGCCAGTCTCCAACTCTTCAAGATTCATCCCGCCGAGAATTGCGGCACTCTGTTGGGCCGCAGTGTTCTCCTCTGAGAGTGATGGTAACAATAATGATGCCTCTTCGCCAGATGGGGGAACCACAGAGCCGAACTCCGCGCGGTAAGCCTCCAGTTGTGTTCGCATCTCTTCATCAAGAATAGTTGGTTGTGTGAATTGGGATCGCCTATAGTCCTCCAAGATTTCACGTGAGACTTGTAACTCTTGCTCTTGACGTTGTTTCTCCTCAGCCAAACGCTGTTCTTCGGCTCTTCGTTTTTCTTCTTGAATCTCATCGTAAACACGACGCCAGAGATCAGATTGTCGTTCATATTCTTCAGCACTTTGCTGACCAGCCACAATAAGTCGATTAATATTACGATCATTTAAATCTAAACAGTATACACAGACAGATTTAAGAAATGTCCTTGCAACTGCCATCGCCTGCGAACGTGGTTCTTGACTGATAAATTCATTTGCCGTTGTAAGTCCAGTAGCAAGAGAATGACGTAATTTTCTTGCACTTTCAGTAGTAAGAGCTTCTTCACGTGAGATAGCAAAGACAAATGCGGCACAATACAAAAGGGCAAGATTATACTTAAGAAGAGGTAAATTAGGATTTTCTGCAACCACTTTTGTGAGTACCGATATAGCATCCTCATAATGTCCTTCACAAGCCAAACAAAATGCTAATGAAGATGTTTGAAGTGGTGTACGTTGTGTATCACGTTCAAGATAATCAATGGCCTGTTTAAAACTGTCATTTAATGTTTTTACATTTGCTGTATGTGCTTCGTAATGACTACGAACATAATCACAATTAGGTAGTACTTCTCCCACACGATCTAACAAAGATTGACAACGATCATAATCTGCTTCCAGACCAAGACAGCATGCTAAACCATGTGCTGCTAGTATATTTCCCTTATCACGACGTAGTACAAATAAAAAGCGATTCTTTGCACTTGCCAAAAAACGTCTATTATCTTTTCCATGTTGTTGACTGCACCAAAGAAAAGTAGCACCAAGAGCGAGAGCCACTGGAATTGGACGACTTCTGGTAGAACGTAAAGCACTCATTGCAGCGCCAAAACGTTCATTCTCAAAGAATATTTGACCAATATAGGCTAGTGAAGTTGGTTCTTCCGGTACTACTTGTTGTAGTAACACAAGCCATGATACTGCTTGTTTTAATAAACCATCTGTTTTTGCTAATAAATGCAGACGAAGATAAGGTAACTGAAAGTATCCATGTTGTTTTACAAGAAAAATGTATAGTTGTCTTGCTCTTGTACGATCTTTTTCTTCTAAGAGTAATGCCAAATTAAAAACAAGAGGGACATACTCTACGGGTAGTGTAGAATGAGTTAAGAAGTTTGCTCCAAGTTCTCTGTCTATAATATCCTGTAAAGCATCAGAGTCTTCACTTAATGAAGCAATATTAGCAAGTAAATGCATTGAAATAGGTTCACCAACTTCTTTTCGGATACGAGCTACATGTAACATAAGTTTTTTCGCTTCTTCTTTCTTTAATCGTACACACCAAGAAGCAAGAGACCATGAACGAATATCTCCTGGTGCCACATTATTAATAAGTGAGTAACTGTACTGTAATGCTTTTTCATGCATTCCTCTTTGAGAAGCATAGGCAGTTAAAAGTTGTAAAACTTCCTTTTGGTTAGGAAGGTCTGCATTAATACGTAATAGTAATTGTTCTGCCTCAACTTCTCTTCCTGATAATAATAATACCCTAGCGTAGTGAATTCGTGCAGCCATTAAATTAGGGTTTACTTGCATTGATGATTCAAGTAATACCCGTGCATTAGACAAATCACCAAGGGCAATACATAATCGTCCTTCTTGATAATCTGCTATAGCGGCTTCTTCAACTGTTGCTACTTGACGTACTTCAGTTAATAATTGACGAATAGAAGATGCTGACGCTTTAACACGTTCTTGTGATACTGCCCTGAAATAAACAAGATCTGAAACCTTTAATAATACCATAGCATTACCTGGTAACAATTTTCGTAGTCGTTGCGCTACTTCAACAACTTTTGGAATTTGTCTACGGTCTAAAAAGACAACTAGTAGTGCCAATAATGCCAATTCATCATCGGCGTTAACCTCCAAAGCTCGCTCTAACCACTTTTGAGCATAATCTAATCGATTTAAATGATATGCACAAAGTCCCATTCCCACTCGCACAATAGGAGGACTAAAGTCTCCAAGTGTCTCCAAAACGACACGATAATGTGCAAAACTTTTCTTATAACGCTTCATGTGGTAATTCACAGCTGCAAGACCCATCTTTGCAAGAACAAAATGTTCATCTGCCCGACTTGCCTCTTCAAATTTAACTCGGGCAGTTTGCAAACTTGTACCATTTGCCAATGCGGCGAGACCCTCCAAGTATAATGTTACTGGTCGGTGTAACGGGGAGGCGGCGACATCCGCCATACAATTCCCCACCGTCCGCTCACCCCCCATAGCCGCAATAGACGCTTGTACACATCGAATAGCGAAGTGATCATTAAGCTCCGCACGTGTTTGTTGCTCAGCGGCGGCTGTATCGAGAATAGACGTGGCACGTTTAATCTCACCAAGTGCAAAGGCATCACGTGCGTCAGCCAAAGTTGACTGCGTCTGCTGTGAAAGTGTAGTCATTCTCAGACCCAACAGTACAGCTCTGAGGATGGGAGTTTAGATTAACAGTAGATATATATATATATATATATATCTGTTTGTGTGGTGTGAATGGGCCCTGGAGGTGTAGTCTTGTTGTGCTTCTTGGCTTAATTTTTTTTCTTTACTTATTCCTCTCCTTTCGCTCACACGGGCTTATTGGCTTGCCAGGTGGTGAATCACCTCACGCAGTAAAAAAGAAGAAAAAAAAAAATAAAAATAAAAATAAAAATAAAAAGATATCAGTTCAGTACGGATAGAAAGATGTAGAAAAAAAAAAAAAAATACAACCCAGATTACAGAGAAATATTTATTACAATTTTTAATAATCATAATATTTTATTGTTTTACGCGTCTTCCAGGATAGTTTTCTCCTCTTTCTTTCCATCCTTATTATCTTCCTTCACTTCCTCCTCCTTCTTCTCTTCTTCTTCTTCCTCCTCCTTTTTGCTCTTTTTCTTTTCATTACCATCACTAGAGTTACAAGTGTCAACTCCATCTTCTCCATTCATGTCTCCCTGACTATCCTTACTCTTGGCAGCTTCGTCATTGTTATCGTCTCCAGCAGCAATTATCTCAGCACCAGCTTCAGTTTCATTATCAACATTACCCTCTACAAGTGGTTGCCCAAGTGTCAGCTTAGCTAAAGTAATATGCCACTCCGAAACCTTTGCAGATACTTGCCCAGTTCGTGTCTTTTCTGCAGCAATATACACATAGCCAACAACAGACATGTTGCAAGAGATGATAAAACTGTTATGTGGTGGTAATGTTGGAAGTGCCGATAGTAACAATTTGCTGCGGCTAAATTGAAGTACCAATTCTGGACTCACCTCCACGACAAATGTAGAAGGTAGAAGCGATTTCACTGTAGCGATACCTTCCATGCTAAAACGAAGCTTATCGTTACTATACTTCGCAAAAGATTCAATGATCTTAGATCCCACATGTACAACACGAGGACCAAGTTTAGGAAGTAATTCACAAACTGCCTTGTTTGCAAAGTATATCTTTTGTTCTCGGGCTGTCTCATTTCGAACAAAAAGTTGATTCATAGGGAAAGACTCTGGAAGATCCAAGGCACGACGAACAACCTCCTGTAACGGTGGGGATATAACTTTGAAAGTCTCACTTTTGACGTTATTATTATTATTATTAATGGTGGTAGTGGTAGTGGTTTTCGTATCGATGGGATAATCTTCAACACACTCCATCACTGCCACAAAAAAGCCCCCTGTATCTTGATGATGTGGTAAAATACGTCTAGTATAATGTATTCCCTGCGCTTTAAGACGTTCAGTATTAGGAAACATAGACGCATGATAACGGAAACCACGTCCATTTTGCTTTTCAGTATATGCTTGGGCTTCCTCAATATTATGAAGCCAGGTTGAAAGGTCTTTAGTGAGTAAAGACCAATCTGTTAGTCCAGGTGAAGCGATGAGTCCTGGTACAAGTGGTGTAGGGTCAATAAGTCGAAAAGCACCGTTAGCTTGCGCGAGACACTCTGATACTACAGCTTCATCCTCTACTGGATTCATACTACAAGTGGAATACACGATAATACCACCTTTTTTACAAAGCATCATACCCCGTGTTAGCACACGAATTTGAGTACAATGCAAATCAGGACCCTGAAGTGTATTCCAGCGTGGCCACATATCCACAGACTTCCTTAATGTTCCATCACCAGAACACATCACATCACAAAGTACTCGATCAAACTTCTCTTCTGGAGGAAGAAGAGGAAATTGCGTCGCATCATAATGTGTCACAATCAAATGAGGATGTGATCCTGCAGAACGATTGGTCTGGTGCATAAGTACGTCAAGTCGAGAAGTATTAAGGTCATTTGCGACTACTACACCATCTTCCATTGAAGGAATAAGTGCCTCTAATATCTGTGAGGTTTTGCTCCCTGGTGCAGCGCACATGTCAAGTACCCGTTGACCTGGTTTTACCTGGAGAAGTACAGGAGGAATCATACTTACCGTCTCTTGCCGTGTGATGTATCCACCCTCATTAAGGGCCGATATAATTTTCTTTAATCCCTTCAACTCCGCACTGCGCTTTAGATCACCGCGTGAAACACTACACTGAAGTGCCCTCCCACATGATACAAAAGGAATTCTTCGGGTTGGCAACACGTCGTTGAGACGCGCCTGCAGAAACTCAAGCACGTCGTCTGGTTGCGGTGCTGTTGGGTGGACGCGGAGGGCCATTGGCAGCGGGGTGCGTAGGGCCTCCTGCAGGGCGGGCCACTCGCCGGCGGGGGCGACGGTCTTTTCGTAATACGCATCAAAGGCGGCATTTGTGAGGGTCGCGACATTCCGCTGGTCGGTGGCCCACGTACTGTCAGAGCGTCCCCGACGGCGGCCACCACCCTTGCGGTTTTGATTGCGGGATAACTGCGACATGTTATATATATATATATATATATATATATATATATATATATATATATATCTTTTTTTTTTTTTTTTTTTTTTTTTTTTTATTAGTATTCCCTTTCTTTTCGTTATGTATATATGTATATATTACCTTCTCTTATTATTTTTTTTTCTTTTTATTGCTCTCGATCTTGGTGTCTCGTACGCGCCCCCGTTTGAATTTGGTGTATTTTCTCCTTTCAATCCTGTGGGTGTCTAGTCCTCGAGGTCACCAAACCGCTGCTGATCACCAAACCGCAGTAACAGGGAAAAAGGAAAAAAAAAAGCAAGAGAAAGAAAGAAAGAAAGAAAGTGTAATCAAATAATAAAAATGAGAGGGAAACAAGAAATGAAAAAAATTAAATGAAAAAAAAAGAAAAGAGTAGACCATGAAAAAAAAAGGGATCAAAGAAAAAAAAAAAGATATAGTTATAATGATGGTGATGATAATGATAAAGGGAAAGGTGGGAGGGGCGAAGAAGGGGGGAGGGGTGCCGATCACCACAAGAAAAAAAAAAAAAACGAGGGTAACGAATTTCCCACACCACTTTCGCAAACACAAGATCAGAAGCGCACACAATGTACGCATATGCAACTCTCTGTTCGACCGCACCAACAAAGAAATAATTATTCGGTGAGGAATGCTTTTTTTTTTTTTTTTCACTTTTTTTTTCCTTTTTTTTTTCTTTTTTACCTCCCCAACTTTTCAATATTTTTCTCATTTGCTTGATTTCTTAAGTTGACGTCTGCTATTCCCGTGTTTTTATTGCTCCGTCATTAACAGTGCAACAATTGGTAGTGTGCTACTCCATGTCAAACATCGTATCGCATCCACTGTCATTATTGGGTGGTTTTACCTTTTCGTCCTTCTGCACCAAAGGCGCGGGTGGGCGTGGGCCATTGTTACCGCCGTTGTTACTTCCAATGGCTCCTGCAATATTATTGCCATCTTTACTCAACATGTAAGACACCGTCGGTGTCGTTGAGAACTCCTTGAGAGAAACACTCTTCTTCATATTTCAGCCGCTAGATTCTTGAGTTAATGATGAAAAAAAAGAAGAAAAAAAGAAAAAAAAAAAGAAGTAAAAATAACAAATACATACATATATATATTCAGATGCCACAAGTATTTAAAAAAAAAAAAAAAATGCATAGAAACACAGAAACGTGTTTAACAAGAAATAACTAAAAGGAAATAGTAATTTTCGTCCATCACCTTAGTATTGTATCATTACCATGCTGCAGAGGTAAATACACACGCACACACAAACAGAAACGCAAATACACAGACACAGAAAGAGAGAAAGAAGATAAGGACAATAACAATAAGAAAAACAAAGACACAAAAATGGCCTCATCTTTCTATCTACCGATGTTTCTCTCTCTTTCTCTCTTTCTATATATATATATATATTACTCATCTGCGTACAAGACGTGACCTTCGATGTGTACTACACGTTTTGGACGACTTGGTACTCTTTCTTGCATCTCATCCACTTTCTCTTCACTCTCACGTGCTTCAGATGGTCGCTTTGCAATGCAGTATGAAGACGTAGTGGCATCCCACACAATACAATCTTCAGCACTAAGAACACCACCTTTTTGGGTGTATTGCCTCATTGTTTCCATGATCTCTTCATCCACCCGCACACTATGCAAGGGTGTTGCCTTTCCACAAACTGGACAAACAGCAGATTGTAAACCCCCACTACTGCCACCGCTACCACCGTCCTCCCATTTCTGACCTGCTGCATCTTCAATGGACTCCGCACGACGAGTTACCACCTGTTGAGTAGCACGAACAAAAGTTCCCAAATCAAAAATCTCCTGGTGCTGACATGATAAACCACGAGCAGGAATTGTAATAACACTCATTGAAATAGGATCTCGGAGTGGAAGACGCCAACGTACCGCTACAGGTGCTGAACCTACACCAGATACATCATTTCCTTCACGTGGACGTTTTTTCCCACCTATAAGTGCATGAGTATTTTCAGTACGTTTTTCAGATGTTGATAGTTCCTTTAAAGCAGTAGTAATCTTTTCAATATCCCATCGAAATGCAGGGATAGATCTTGTAAGATCATCTATACGATGACGACAAGTTACATGTCTCATCGTTCGGAATGTCTCAATTTCACCAAACGCGTAGGCAAATAGCGTTGATTCCAGTGAAGATGGCACCATCTTTTTTAGTAGTGAGAGAAGTGAATCCACGTACCTAACAGCATCCGTGACAATAGAAACATCTAAGGAAGCCAATTTCCGACAAAATGCCCCACATAACATAGAACATTGGCATAAATTATGTGTAAGGGGTGGATGACGTGCCGCTTCTTCCTCAACATATTTTAACAATCTACCATGTGCAGTTTCTACGGCGCTATCAGAGTCCATAGACCGTATCTCGTGCAGGAGTTCCCAACTCAACATTCCCACACTCTAAAAGATAAATCACAACATTAGTACCAAAGCAAGCCAAAAGAAATAATAATAATAATAATAATAATAATAATAATAATAATAATAAAGAAAATTTGAGAGAAAACAAAGAAGTTAATAAACCCCAGCAGCTACACTGACATCAAATATTTAAAAAGAAGTTTACTTCATCTTGTAAAATCTAAAGCATTTTTTTTTTCCTTTTTTTTTTTTAACATTTTCTTTCTGTCATTCACGCAACCATATCAACAATACAAACAACACACAATATCCCATTTTAATTTACAAAGTTGACAAAATATCTTCCAACTGCTCATCAAATCGTGTAGTTGGTACCGATAGCTCAAATCTAGAGAGGAAACTCTTTGCTGCTGCCGTCTCTTCACTCAAGGAATAAAAACGCTGCCGCTTTTCAGAACCAGTCTTTGACTTGTTTGAGAAATCCAGGAAACGAAAAGAGTGTCGTTGTGGTTCAGTCTTCGTAGTTTCAGCAGCAGTCATAACTGGCTCCGATACACTAGACGCCGCTACAGCTACTGCTGTTGTTGTTGTTGTTGTTGTTGTTGCCAAGGTAGGAAAGGTTGTGTGAAGGGATTTTGAATCCTTCATCTGTGAAAAATGACTACTTTGTGAAATATTAAACGTCGATGTGAAGGGAGCAGTGACACTTGGAGAGTTATGTAGATGTTGAGAGACAGTTCCTGCCCCACCTATTGTTGTTGTTGTTGCTGCTCTAGTTGAGGAAGGCGTTTCTTTCATGTTATCATGTTCCACATGTTGTGCTGTCTCATTCTTTACCTCTGGAGCATCTGCCAACTCTTTGCCACTATGATTATCATCATTATCATTCATATCTTCTTCTTCTTCTTCTTCCTCTTCTTCTTCTTCTTCCTCTTCATAGTAATCTTCCTCTTCCTCCTCTTCTTCTAACTCTTCTTCTTCCATCTCTTCAGTGTTTTCCACTAGCTCACTCTCTTCATGAAAGCCAACATCAGAGAGTGGTAGCTTCTCTGTAACTTCTTCATCCTCATTACTGATGAAATCATTGCCATCTCTGAAACTCATGATGATCCCTTCTTCCTCTCTACAAGAGTAACAAAAAGAAAAAAAAAAAGAAAGAGACACAACAGAAAATACGAAAAGAAAGCGAGAAAGAAAACAATAAAAAAAGAGGGAAAGGAAAGCAAAAGGGAAAAAAACAAAAAAAAAAAAGAAAGAGTTTTCTTTAAAAATAAAAAAGCGACAAAGAGAGATGCAAAAAAACAAAAAATCTGTATTTGCACCTACCCACCCACGAGATATTTATTTCTGCAATAAAAAAAGGCCTAATCATCAACGCAAAATCGCGCAAACAAAGAAGAAAGCAATGTGATAGGATCATGCCGTTTATCACCTCTTTAAATAGTGTCGCTCACTTCCATGTGAGGCAACGTTTCCTTGTTGAATTTCTATTTAATGAGAGATACCTTTTTACTTTTTTTTTTCATACAATCGTGATAAAAAAGCTGAGGAGGTCATACTATTCGAATTAGAATTAGTATTTGCCTCTTTTCTCTTTTGAGAGGTGCCCATTACCTCAGGAATGTATCCAGTAGGGGGAAAAAAAAAATGAAATATCCCTCTTTTTCCCCCCCTTTGATTTTTTCCTATAAAAAAAAGAGTAGCGCCCATGATAATAATAATAAAAAACCGCGCGTTAACCCAAAAAGATTTTTTTCTTCTAGAAAAGGACAACCTTCTTTTTTTTCTCTTTTCAACTTAAGCTAAAATTATTTTGATCTTTTGTTCATTTTATTGGAATTCTCTTTTCTTTTTTTTTTTGGTTTTTTCTTTATTAACCATCCAGAAATTGTTTTTCATTCATTTATTAAATTTATACATTATTTTTTTTTTTTGTTTTTTTTTTTCTCTCTTTTTTTTTTGGTTTTTTTCAACCTATCTCCTACTTTAAAGAAGGAGAATCAATAATAATAATAATAACACTGCTTTCGGTAAACCTAAACCTATTTACAAAGTGCATTTCTACAGCCTGGACAACTCATTGATAAGACGCTCACGAATCAATCCAATTGCCTCAAGCTCACGACGGATTTCTGTTTCCTTACAGGCGCGTACATCGTCGTGAAGTCCAACAGTGATCTCCCGCACTTGACGCCAGAGCTGACCCCGAAGGTCAATCACACGGCGGACTGAAGTAGCCACCTTAATGGGAACAAGAATGTAATTGTTGTAGCGCATCGCAATGATACAGTTGGTGGCACCAGCCATCGCCTCATGCATGGCGAGAGTTGCCAAAGTGGCGCAGAAGAGAGCATCATTAGCAGAAGGTGGGCATGCACGGATCATATATGAGGGATCAATATACTTCACTGTGCCATGAGGATAACGATCACGGTTCTCCTTCAACCACTTTTGAATCCTCTTCGTGAGAACAATACCAATGTCCAACAATTTCTTGTTGCCTGAGGCATCATAGCCACGAGAACCTTCCTCCCAGTTCTGGCCAAAACCTTCTGCGAGAATGATAACACAGCTGCGGGAAGTCTCAAAGCGGCGTTCAATCAGCTTCATTACTGTTTCTTCAGGAATAGGGTTTTCAGGAACAAGGCAAATATTTGCCTGGGCGCTTGCCACAGCTGCTTGCGCAGCAATGAAACCACTGTCACGACCCATGAGCTTTACAACGCCAACACCGTAATTGAGAGAAATAGCCTCAGCGTATGCGGCACGAATAGCTTGAACAGCCTTTTCCACAGCAGTTTGGAAACCAAATGTACGGTGTGAAAAACTGAGGTCGTTATCAATGGTTTTGGGAACACCAAAAACAGCAATGTCAGCTCCACGACGCTTGGCTTCTTGAGCAATTGAGAGGGCACCACGTTGTGTTCCATCTCCACCCACAGTAAAGAGAATATTTACACCAAGTCGCTGCAATGTGTCAACCATTTCCTTTGGATCCTGTGGACCACGGCTGCTTCCAAGAATTGTACCACCATGGCGGTGAATGCTTGTAACAGAGCTGCGGTAAAGCTCCATAGCAGTGTGGGCACCACTCTTAGACAGACCCCAGTAACCAAAACGGAAACCAATAACACGTTTTACACTGTAGGCCTTAATAGCAGTAAGGGTCAAAGAACGAATCACATCATTGAGACCAGGGCAAATACCACCACATGTAACGATACCTACAACTGTATCGGCCGGGTTAAAGTGAAGGCGATGACGGGGTGCGGCAAGCTCACAGAGAAGGGGGCTTAAAGAGATAGGATTATTAGAGGGAGATCCCTCTTGTGGGCGTGGGTCGTACATGATGTGTTCAATACGGTCAGAAAACTCCTCACGCATCACATGTTTCCTGCTTGGATTTACGTATTTGCGTCCCGGAAGACGCTCCACATTAAGATCCTCCTGTGTCACTTTGCTCAGTGAGGCCGCAGGAGAGAGAACCAGTTTGCTGGTGACACGACGACGAGACTCCATGATAAGTTATTCTTATAAAAGTTGTTGTTGTTTGTTTGTTAGCTTTGCTTGTTTGAACTTGAAACCAGATTATTTTTTTTTTTTTTTTAAAGGGGGGGGGAGTAAAAAGTTGTAGAATAAACCAACCAAGGGACGTTTGAGTAAGTTACCCATGTGTACCATCTTTACATAAATTCACATTCATCATATTTTTCTTCATGAAAAGTCACATACCCACATTTGAGTAAATTGTTGAAAAGGGTGGGAAACATAACTTGCATAAGGTCATATATATATATATATATATATACCTTTTTCTTTTTTTTTTTTTTTCTTTCCGAACAATTTCTTTTTTTTTTTCTTCTCTTTCTTTCACTCAGTCCATAGTTCTTGTTCGTCTAAACATGAAACATCATCTTTGCTTGGAGTTTTTCGTCACGACCTTTATATTTTTTTCTCCTTCTTTTCTTTCCTTCCCTTTGCTTTTGGTATCACAGCTGTCCTCTCCACATTTTACTCTTATCAAATATTTTCTCCCATTTTTTTTTTCTTTTCAATTAAAATAATTCTTTCTTGCAACGTGTGAAAAAAAAAAAAAAAAAAAACATTTCTCCCGTGTCTAGTTACTCTCTAACATTACAGAGCTTCGGTAGGGCTCAAACTCATGAATACTGTAAAATAAGGGAGTTAATAACAACATCATCAATAATAAGAAGGTTTAAAAGAAAAAAAAAAAAAAGCAAAAAAAAAAAGGGAGGGAGGGAGGGATATTTTACTTCTAAGCTCCTCACCACTCCTTTAACCTTCCTGTCCAAACTCCTCTGTAAACTTGATGTGTTGTGCAACATCATCATCAGATACAGAGGGTCTAGCAGTAATCAACGCCTTCATAAAGTCCTGCATGGTAACAGGGAGCGGCATTAGTAACTCTGGTTGGGCAATCTCCTGCGCTGTCATTGCAAATCCCTCCGGATCACCAGGTGAACAAGGCACAAGACGATTATTTACTGTACGTGTTGGATCTTTTGGATCCGGTCCTGTTACCCTCTTAAAGTGTGTGGCCACTTGAACAGAGCGAATACACTCCATCATGGCATTTCGTACCACAATATTAATGTCACTACCACTATATCTCTCTGTCATTTGGGCCAACTTGTACCAATCCTCATCTGTTAATGTATGAGGAGTATCACCAATGTGAATTTTAAACATCTGACATCGCGCTTGAACATCTGGTAAAGGAATATAAATACGGCGTTCAAAACGTCGTCGGACAGCACTATCAAGAGCCCATGGAATATTAGTTGCGCCAAGTACCAACACACCTTCATCATCGTGACCCACACCTTGCATTTGTACAAGAAATTCTGTCTTAATGCGTCGTGAAGCGTCATTTTCACCATCTGAGCGAGATGAACAGAGGGAATCTATTTCATCAATAAAAATAATTGCAGGTTTACCATCATTTTTATATGCTTCACGAGCCATTTCAAATAAATTTCTCACCAATTTTTCAGAATCACCTAACCAACGTGACATTAAATCGGCACTGCTAACACTTAAAAAAGTACCATCACCTTCTGTGGCTACTGCCTTTGCAAGATAAGACTTACCTGTTCCAGGTGGTCCATACATGAGAATACCTTTCCATGGTTTACGGTTTCCTGTGAAGAGTTGTGGAAAACGGACAGGAAGAATCACTGCCTCTTTTAGTGCTTCCTTTGCACCTTCTAAACCAGCAATCTGTGACCACTGTACATTAGGTTTTACTCGTACAATAGCTCCTTCTAATCCATTACGCATACGTTGTTTGTCTTCTTCATCCTCTTTGGCTCTTTTACTTACAGATGCAGTTTTCTGTGCGGTACCTCCTGCACCTGTATTGTTTCTGTTGTTGTTACTTTCTTCCTTTGAGTTATCCAGGTATTCTTTAATTTTCTCTGCTCGTTCCATAATTTCACGCACTTTTTTTTTAAGTAAATCCCTTTTAGTTGGATTACTCTTTTCATACTTGATAGCCGTCATGAAAACTTCTATAGATTCCATATACCACCGGTATGCTTCTTCGTATTCTTTTTGCTCATCATGATTAGCGGCACGTTTAAATAAATCTACCGCCTTTGATGTAAAATCAACAGACATCTCAGTATTCTTCTTAAATGTATAGCTATAAATACAAGAATATAAAACTAATTAATAATAATTTACGTACGGAGCTATGTTTATGTATAAACACGTTTCCTTCACGCTCCAGACCTTACAGAAAGAGGGAAGAAGAAAAAAAGAAAAGAAAAAAGAAAAAGAATTCCTCAAATTAAAATGAAACAAATATCCCTTTCCTCTTACCCTTAATGCACTTCGTACGTTTTGATATTTACTTTAACTCAGTTATCCTTTTTTTTTTTTTTACCGTTGCTCCTGTTCGTTTCGCACACACTTTATCCAACTGTGCATGGCGCTCATATATATACGTATATATACATATATGAGCAAGGAAGCAAAAAAAAAATGGAAAAAAAAAAAGAAGCAATGGAAAAAAAAGAGAGAAAAATAAAACATAAACAGGTTCATACAGACCTTTTTTTTTTTCATGTCATTTTCCTCTCCAAATTTAAATTGGAAAACCTAAATAATTCCTTTGATTCTTTCTTCTTTGGAGGTATCTCTCTCATTTTCTTTCCCGTTTCGAATTTCATATAAATGAGTATACGTTTCTATTAATTCTCCTATTTCAGGAAATTTCATGTAAGGGGGAAACAGGATAAAAAAAAAAAGACAATTAACATCCAAAGAGAAGAAAGTAAAAGTCATAGCAAGGAGATAAAAGCGGAATGGGATATATATATATATATATATATATATATATATATATAGATATAGATATATTAAGGGAAAAAAAAAGTAAAATCAACAAAAATAAAACTCAAGACAACATTCTTTCACCTATGAGACCCCAGTAAACGATTTTCCATAATTGTAGTTAATTCCGTCACGACATCTATTGCCATGGGTCTCAATGAAGGATCATGCATCAACATCTGAATAATAAGATTAATGAGAGAATCTGAATATTGTTTTGTATGAAGACGAATAGCTCGTCTAACGGCTTCTGCAAGAGTTTCCTTCGTCCAGTCCGAGTCACTTAACACCGTTGTGGCTCCTTTACTGTTGTGTAACATTGCAAACTCGGGAAGTGTTGCTAACACAAATGCCACAACACCTAAACTAAATATATCTGATTTTGTTGAACCTGTGGAGTGTGCCATCTCAGGTGCTCGATATTCAAACGTTGGTGAGGCATCTCGTCGTCCGTTAAGTACCATAGAAGCTGCACTCGGTTGTGTATCGCATGAACTACAGAGATCTAAATCCATCAGTAAGACTTGTTCTTCGTGGTTAAGTAGTAGTATATTATCCGGTTTAATATCACGATGAGCTAATGGTGGTTTTTGTGAATGAAGATAACTAAGAGCTGTAGCTATTTGAAGAATGATAGAACAAAGTTTATGTTCTTCAATTGCTCTACGTTGTCGTCTAATAAATTTAAATAGGTCACCTTCAGAGTAATATGGCATAATTACACTGATTTTCAGTGGATGTTCAGTACCAAAAACATCTAAGTATCGTATAAGATGTTTATGTGAGAGTTTTCGCATCTTTTCAGCTTGCAAGAGTCGTGCATTATATAGAGCACGATCTTCATTAGCAAAACTCATCTCTTTCGATACTACTACCTCATTATCGAATGTCATACATTTGTATACAACACCCTGTCCACCTTCACCTAACTTTTCACATTTGCGTAATGACCTATACTTTGATAGTTTCGCAATATTATTATTATTATTATTATTATTATTATTATTATTAGTAGTAGTAGTAGTATTATTATTATTATTATAATTACTATTACTACTAATAGATAAAACAATACTCTTTAATTCATCATCCAGTATAGATCGAGTCCTACTATAGTCTGAGCGCCGAATAGGCGATGAGCAACAAGTTAAACACTTTAATACTCCACACTCAAAAGAAAAAGGAACACAATCACTGCATATCGTATCGGCACAATTCTCACAATAGTATAGTGCTCTTTCATCTTGAATCATTCTTCCACATCGAGAGCAAGAAAACATAAAATGAGATGGTAATTGACATTTTCTACAAACCACAGCAGTAGGTCGATTAAGGAATCCACTAGATACACACCGTTTACATGCGGGGTACTTACATACAACACATTGATATAATTTTTCTTCTTTATTCTTACAAACAACACAGATTACTGCAGGACAATTAAATTTTGCTGTACACTCCGGACAATAACCAGCACAACTCAGGCAACGTGAACATAAATTAGTAGCACAAATCAAGCAGCTTGTTATATCATTGCCTTGATTTCCGCACCTACTACAATAATAAGATTGATTCATCGTCCTTAAACCCTATATCTCCTTTCAACCTAGGGGAATGGAGTGATCCTACTCAGTGGTGGTCACTGCGTCCTCTCACTTCCCTTCATTTTCAATAATAGTGAAATTAAAGAATAGAACGCATTATCAAGAAATACACAAGAAAAAAAAAAAAAAGTATGAAGGGTTAAAAGAACAAGGGAGAAAATAAAAAAAAAGAAAAAAAAATTTAATTTCAAAAGGCTTGAAGGTACTTTTCTGTGAAACAAGGACTTCATTGAAGTCCAAATTCACAAACGATGAACCCCCTTCAAAAGAGATAAAAAAAAAAAAAAAA